ACCAATACTGCATATGTGTGCGTTCCTTAGAGAAAAAGGCTGCTGCTTAGGTTGCCGAGAATACGTAAATTCCCCTATATGATCTGGCAGAGAATTGCGGCTGCGACCAGAATGGAAAAGTTTTCGTCACAAAACCGAATGTCTCCAGAAGCGAATTCTGCCGGGAAGTACAACAATGGTACAATGACAACGGAGTCAAGTTTGTTCCGAAAACCCTCAATCCGCCTAATTGTCATCAGTTTAGGCTAATTGAAAACTACTGGGCAATTATGAACAGGAAACTGAAGGTAAAAAGTACAGTCATCAAAACGGCAGCACAGATGAAAAATTGGTGGGATAAAATCGTCAAAACAGTGGACGATGGGTCGTATAATGGGAAAAGTTCGAGAATTGCTTCGAAACCACGACGAATAATTCTCGCGTCTCTTTTCAAATAGACCAATGTAACATATCCACCATTTTGACAAAATTTAAGTTGAAGTTCGACAGATTATTATTTTAACTGTTTAGAAACAATACATTTTGCAATACAATGAACAATTTTCAATTTTTAATGTAGTCAGTGAATAATAACGTTGGAAAATCAGTAGAAACGGTAAAATCACAATTTGACTTTGAATTTCATGCTAAAATATAGAAAAACCACATAGGACGTTTTGGCTAGTCAAGTTGTACATCGGACATGTTACATTGGACGATTTTTCTCAATGAAATAATCAATAAGTGTTACATTGGATGTTTTGTTCTACACGATACTACATTCCCTTTCACAGATTTCAGAATAGAGTACCTAACCTAACCATGCCCCGCCTTTAGAAAATCAATCATGTTTGTCCAAAATAATTTCAAACTGTACATCGGACAATTTTTTGTCCAATGATAGCTTAAATAAATTAAAGTAAATTCGGATAGGTGTTTTTGTATCACATAGTCTTTCTTAATCTAGCGCAGTTTAGCACCAAACGGAATGTTATTATTACTGATGGCTTTCAAATTTATTTACCTTTCCGTACGTACCGTAAGATTTGATAAAGAGAAACCAATCGTTGAGATATTGTCAAAAGTCTAACACTGCTTTTTGACGCCAAACTCGGCCTACGGATTCTAAACTCGGCCTAACGCATTGAAACGCCATTGAAACGCCAATGAATTCACTTGGGCCTATCGGATGAAGATAACAATCGGTCGGAGCGCTTCTTTTGTTTTTGGGAATAATGGGTGCACACCTGTTCAACATCGCGTTAGAAGGTGTGATCAGAAGAGCTGGGATAGACACGAGTGGCACGATATTCAGGAAGTCCATCCAGCTCCTTGGTTTCGCCGATGACATTGACATTATGGCACGGAACTTTGAGATGATGGCGGAAGCGTACATCAGACTGAAGGCTGAAGCTAGACGGATTGGACTTGCCATCAACGCATCAAAGACAAAATACATGAAAGCAAGAGGTTCTAGGGAATACAATGTTAGCCTCCCACCCCGAGTTCAGATTGACGGTGACGAAATCGAGGTGGTCGATGAGTTCGTGTATTTGGGCTCACTGGTGACCGCCGAAAATGATACCAGCAGAGAAATTCAAAGACGCATTATGGCAGGGAATCGTGCCTACTTTGGACTCCGGAGGACGCTCCGGTCGAATAAAATTCGCCGCCGCACGAAGTTGACTGTCTACAAGACGCTGATTAGACCGGTGGTCCTTTACGGCCACGAAACCTGGACTATGCTCGTGGAGGACCAACGCGCCCTTGGTGTTTTCGAACGGAAGGTGTTGCGTACCATCTACGGTGGAGTGCAGATGGATGACGGAACGTGGAGGAGGCGAATGAACCACGAATTGCACCAGCTGCTGGGAGAACCATCCATCGTCCACATTGCAAAAATTGGGCGACTACGGTGGGCTGGGCACGTCGTAAGAATATCGCACGACGACCCAGTGAAAATGGTTCTAGAAAGCGACCCAACAGGAACAAGAAGAAGAGGCGCTCAGCGGGCAAGGTGGATCGACCAAGTAGAAGGCGACCTGCGGACCCTTCACAGTCTACGAGGCTGGCGAAGTGTGGCCATGGATCGAGTAGAGTGGAGACGACTTCTTCGGACAGCAGAGGACAACAAGGCCTTAGCCTGATTGGTAAGGTAAGTAAGGGTGCACACCTTCTTATCACGCGTTCTCATTGACTTTGTTCCGTAGCTTATTAACTAAAGTATCGTACCAAACGCATAATTGGCTTTTTAACTCTGAAATCATGGAGTTATGAAGTTTTCTGCTCGATAGGCCCAAAATGGGCGAATAGGCCGAAGTAGTTCTCTAACCTACAATGATAGAAGAACAGGAAAAACGCAGTAGGCTCTGGCCACAAACGGTAGGTTTTGTTTTCGCTGGCGTTGATTTCATCTGTTTTCCGCATATTTTTTAATTGCACCAACCCTAATAAAGAAATACAAAAAACGAACGATAGCTAAAATTGTTGAACTTTTCCACAAATGGTTTGGATGATACCCCAAACACGTCGTTAAACAAAATAACCATACGAATTAGGGAAGTAAAAAATATTAGTTTTCGCGTGTGGATAAGCGTAAATCACGTTTTAATAAGCTTTTAGTGAAATTGTAATTAACGTGGAAACTCTGGGACAATAATTTGTTTCGACTAGCTACACACTTAGAAATACCTAATTTTACACGTGACGGAATACATCTTTGACATAAAGGATGGGACGTAAACAATTATGTCATGTAAAATTAAATGCTCCGAGACTGAAAAGTTCGTTACTCGACGAAAATTTCGTTTGATTGAGCTGAATTCGCGTCTCTTATGACTCAATTTTATGTCAAAATTGACGCTCGTATATGTCAGTCTCAGAGCACCTAAAATTACATGATTTTTTCTAAGTTTGTAGCTGTGTTGCTGTGGTGTCGCGTTGGTCGGTTTTTCTTTTCGCTTGTTTTTGGTGCTTTGCCTCTCTTCCAAGGTGCTGGCGTTCTGCCTTCCGGAGAATGCACGCGAATGAGGTGTTAGGCAAAAATTCAGTGCAAATGAAAAACTTCGCATGTGATTCAAAATGTTGTGTTCGGTTGTAAAAACAACGCGGAAAGTTTTTTTTCGATTACCGCGAGTGAACAAACCGGTGCATTTTCGGAGGCAGAATTTGGTCAGATCCATCTCATTATTAATCAATCATAAATGCATATTTCCAAATATTTCGAAATCTGGAAGTGTGTTTGCAGTACCATTATTCATACACTCCCGATCGTAAATTTAAGGACACCCCCAAAAAAACATGAAAAATTTGTTATGTTCATATCTCTGTCATGTTACGTCCAATTTTCGTTCTCTTTAAATCATTTGAAAGGTATTGAATGGAACTTTCTTCGTAGGCAAATTGTTCAAATAATTTTCAAATTTTGTGTGCTAAAAGTTCACCCAAAGTTACAATATTTTTCAAAATTTACTCTGAAGAATCGTGACTGATTTTCTCAGAATTGGGTTGGCCAAATTTTTAAATAAAAGTGGTAGTATAACACTTATGCTATACCATTCATACCATTCAAATAACCTTTGGAGATCGAAAATTGAACGGAAAATGAGAGATCATTGAACAAAACATATTTGCATGGTTTTTTTGGGGGTGTCCTTAAACTTATGATCGGTAGTGTATGATAAAGGTAGTGTTAACACGCGGGCTTATTGTATGTGAAAGTAACCTCGGAATGGACGTGAATTACCAGGCATTCTGAAATGGGTTGCTGAATCTGCAGTAGAGCTGTCGGTTTCTAACTCCCGGACTAAACTTGCTTTAACTTATTACATCAAGAATTGTTGGAAGTACATTTCTTCCATAATACTACTGCCGGCCAGTGGGGGTTAGATTGAATACACACACACACACATACAATGATAGAAGAACAATAGTTTGTATCGATTAACTCGATTTGTTTACATTTGTTACTTAGGACTTTTTGAAAAGTTAGGCGAGAATTCGTTTCGTTTTTTTTTTTTCTTAAAACCGTTTTCAAATCCGTTAATTCAAATCCGAAATAGACCGAAATGATGTTGTTCCATTACTATGTGGGCGATGCTTTATCAACTTTCTCTTTCGTTAATAACACAGCTGCATAAACATTCCCTGTTGTGTTTGACGGTTTGGACGCTAGATGAGAACATTCTTAATCAGATTATGTGACAAAAATAGGCTGAAATCTGTCTGCATAACCGTGATTATCAAAAAAAAAACATGATGAAGAGAACCGACTAAATCAGATAAGAATTTAAATCTAAATCAGCCTTTAGGCAGAAGTGAAACAAAAAACTATTCTACTCGTGTCCTTCCAACGGGAGAGGTGCGGAAAAAAACACTTATTCATAGCTCTAAGACCCCTGATAAATGGGTGGGTGCATCTTGACCTGACCCACTCGTCCACCCGGTTCACACAATATCGGTACGCATGCAACACACAGTGCTTCAAGCAAATCCACCAGGCGTTGATAAGGTTGTTATCTCCGCAACTTGCACGACAGCTACTTAACAACGGCATACTCCGACGATGTAATAATGCTACTGATGCCCGTTCGTGATTAGTTGTTGCATTTAATGTGTTTATCGCCTGCTTGTACGTACATTCATCCAACGAGTATAACCGCACGCCTACAAACTGAGCTGAACTGAAAGTGAAAAAAAAAACGATGTTGCCCGATAAGCGCAACGGCAAGTACCGCTGCATCTAAAATAAAAACAATGATGTAATGGTTGTTTTATTTTTACCGATTCTGCCACTACTTACCAGTATTAAATGGAGGGCAAAAGTTCATTAATAAAACATCCCACTCGATGAGTATGCGGTGAATTACTCATACGGTTTGTACTCATTATCATTCTGAATCCGATGGGAAATTGTTACTCATGCAGTATTATGTAGATACGCCCTGAAAACCGATATGCAGCAAGCCTATTGTATACTAATGTGTTTTATCTGCCTTTCGCTTTTCTTTGCTTTCGTCTAGGAAATGGTCCACGCGAAGGATCCCCCGGCGCATTATCTCACCAAGCTACGAACCTATCTGGATCCGAAAGCTTCGCGAAGTCATCGGGTAAGTTGAAACCTATAACAGCTAAGAACGATAGGAGTTAAGCCACGAAACGTGCGACTGTTGATCAATGTCAATGAAAGATAGCGGACTCAAGCGTAACAAATGTCCTATATCTTCTACTAAATGTTATTTTAACGTAGATTCAAAACAGATTGGTGGAAATAGTCCAAGAACTTGTTTTTTTTTATAGCCACAAAACCAACTCAATGTCGCTATTCTCAAAACAAAACAACAAATCTTCCACATCGCCTTCTCCCGTGACCAAACTAGATCAACCGGAGATGCTTATAGGTTGAACCAAAGCCACACATCATTCCCCGCGATCCGATCCAATCCGATCCGATTACCATTCCTCAGGATCAATGATGCGCACAATGATGGAATGGGTTAACCTCGCTCGCACTTCGCTGACCAAGGCAGTCCCGGGGCGGTAATAAAACCCCAACCGTTACCAATTGCTAATGTTCGCGTTACAACGCGAGATCAAAACAAAATGTCACCGTCCGTCGGCTACGCCATATCAATGATAAGCGATGAAATAGAATGAAATAAATATAGCATTCACTTGATCTGGATCTCCAGTGACACAGGATGCGGGCTGGCCGCAATTTTCCACACACACACACACGCCGGGATTGATCGCTGCTGACCAATGCAATCAATCTTGTCGGGGGTTCGCCTCATCTCATATGAGGGTGCACATTGCGGGAGGTTTCGGATTTCCTCTCTCTCTCTCGCTGCAATTCGATGTTGCAATCAATGAAGATTAATGTTAAAAACAGAATGCACAATTGGAGGGCTGATTTACACTTTGAAAACAATGTTGTTTGTTTGCGGTGCAGTGATATTTACGATTATGAAGTAAATGTTATGAATTACAATGGTTTTATAGGCCTTTTAAACCGGTGATCTCTTGATGCATCTTGATGCTAGATGATGCAGATTTCAAAATGTAAAAATGCACTGTTAGGTATTGGAGAGAAGTTTCGAACACTTATATTTTTCGAGTTGAGTAGCCCTTGAGTTTTATCCCCCGTAGAATTATCACAAAATTAATAAAAGCTTTAATTGAGATCACAGAGAGTGTTGAGATATAGAAGCATTTTAAAATTTCAATCTCATACCTCACCGTGAAATTTTAAAATCTGAATGTTCAAGCCTATTATAAAATATAATAATAATAATTATTATTATTTGACCAAATTGCACAAATTCGTAAGTGGTACAAGTCCTACACCATTATTTGAGAGTACTGCCATCTCCGTCCGTTATTGTATTGACCGAGATATGGACAGGGTGGCAAGTGAACCAGGAAAAACAGGAAAATGTCGGGATTTTTTTTACTAGGAAAAACCGGGAATGTTTAAGCAAAACCAGGAAAATAATAATTTACAGATGCATGTCGCTTTGAAATGATAACTTTACTTTTTTATGTGTGATGCGTGCAGAATAATATACCTGTATATTCAATACACTTTGTTATTCGAGCAGAAAAGCATGACACCGTAACTCGCAACAACTCAAAATAGAGTCGAACATGCTCATTTAAGCGGGAAGTATGGCTACTCAAAAGTGAGTAGGCCCACTTTTACTCACTTTTGAGTAAACGACGTTCTCGCGCAGAGTGATTAAAAATCACTCTGTGATATTTGCAGCTGAGAAGTTTGTTTATTTCATTTGTTTGAATTTTGATAATTTTGGGCCGTCCCTGAGTTGAAGTGGGATCCAGAGGAACGATAAAAATTAATTTACATCTTTAAGTAAAGCTATACATTGTTGGTAGCGACAAAATTCATTGGGAGTGTTAATAGCATATAAGTAGATTAGGATGTTTTCGCTGTGTTTGGTTCGGTCCAACAAAAATTAAACCTCTGAAAATGAGTTGGAGCGTCTTTATGTAAATTCAAGAATGGTAAGAAGTTAAGAGATATATTTCTGAATACTTATAGTTCTTCATTGTGTGCTTAAGAGCCGGATAAATTGGGACATTAAGCTATCCAATGAAAATTAAGAATTGTTATCCTGCTTGGATGGACGAATTTTTGCTTGCTTGAAGTAGCAGATTATGGTTAAATATTGAACTCAGGGTCACATGGACCAACATTTCTAATTTTGTGAAAGCACAACTCTGAATATCAAATTTTTGTTTATGCTGATGGAAAGAAAGTGGAATCTCAAGTAACCAACAAGCCTGCTTAATAATAATCCGACTAATAATGTGCCGAAGTCCTGAATAAGTGTATGTTAGTTTTATATACACGCAAAAAAACCGTTTCGGTATTTGTGAACAACAAATCACGAAAGCTTGAACTGCTAGTTCGTTTGAATTCATGACTTAGTTCCCGTAAACGTGATCGAGTAAATAACATTTTGATGAAATAAATCCAAAATCCATGAACTTAAGTCACTCCTGTTCAGCGCGACCATCGATTTCATAACGCTACAGAAAACACAAAATAAAATCATGATTTCGTGGTTCATGAACCCATAAAGGCCGGCGCACAATAGATACGTTTTCGGGTTTTTTGACAGATAATGCAAAAAAACCCGAAAACGTATCTATTGTGCGCCGGCCTTAAGTGTGATTTTCGTTCCTAAAATCGTGAACTTGGATCACATGCAGTGCTGCAGCTGTCATTTTCAGTAGTTGTTGATTTTATCCTCATAGAGTGCTCGGATCCGTCGAGAATAGTGTCTTGATTATTAGTGAGTGAGCTGAGCCGTATCATTGAAATGGTGGTCCGGCACAATGGCAGTGGCTGGGACGTACGTGTCATCATACTGGCCGTCCTCGAACAAAAAGAATCCCCGAAGGCATCCGGTGTTCTTGCTCCCGCCGCTCCGATGGAAGTCGAAGGTGGTGTTGATTTGTTGAGCTGAAAACTCGGTTGAAAGTGTGTTCATTCCATCTGCTGGACAGATACCTGCTGCCAGTTTGGGATGCGGGTAAAACCTGCATCAAGGCTTCCGTTGTTTGCATTCCACTTCCTCACTCCATTTAAAATATTGGTAATTATAATGAAATTGACATTTTACAGTCCATGAACCATGTTCCCGTTTTCAAGAACAAGGTTCACGATATCAATAACAACGCATGAACATAAATCACGTTTGCCAGAACTAGATCATGATTTTCCGAACAGAGTTCACGATTCTATGACTTTTGTTGCATTTGCAGGCGTTACGTTTATTTTGTGGAACAATGTTCACGATTTCATGATTTTTATTCATGGTGTACTTTCGTAAACGAAAATTTTCCGAACATCGCGACTGGAGGTTGACGAATTTCGGAACGGATTTTTTCCCGTGTAGCAAAATCAACCTAAATTAGCGGGCTTATTGGTTACCTCCCAAGTAACAATTTGAGTTTTATGAGGGTTCTTTTTTTTATCTAGTTCGTTTATTTGGAAGGCTCAATCGCGTTAGCTTTACGGAGCCGATAATTCATTGTTCACTGTGTGTAACAAAATTCACTTAATTCTATGTCTAGTAGGAGTTGGGCCGATTACTCGCGGCTTACTCGAGGTTAGAAGGGTACATTTTCGAAGGATAGGATCAGGGGAGGAGCTTGGGGTAGGGTTTCGTTGCCTCATCAGAGCGTTGTCGCCAGTTTATTTATTTATTTATTTATTTATTTCGTCAACCAACGTAGACTAGTACAACTAATACAGTTTTGTTTTCTTAAATATATATTTATATAAAAAAGTAGTGTCAGCTTTCTTGTCTTTTCTTTTATGAGTTGTTATTTCTTATGGAATAAAAATATTGCTTTAGTTTATGCCGAGACATTGTAAAGTCAATGGTTTCGCAGTGTTTATTGTAAGAGGCCATCATGCGGTTTAATGGTATGTATGAACGGTATGAACGGTAGTGCTGTTCTAGCTTCGTCCGGAGTTCGACCGGCTGGTGGGTGACCAGTGGGCGACGATGAGACTCGTCGAGACGGGGGGGGGCAAGACAAACAAAAACTATTAAAGAGAGACAAAAGAGGAATTAAATTCTTATACTAGACATTTGAAGAAACACATAAACCGACTGCATATAGCAGATATCGCGAGTTCCCAACACGTCTCTGATAGGAACATAGGGTTGTCTTCCTTGGGCCTCAAGGGAATTCAAAAGTCGCTCTCTGGCGGCGTCATTATCCGTACATTGCCAAACTGCGTGATCGATGTCATCGTAACCGTTTCCACACCGACAGATGTTGCTGTCTACGAGGTTTATTCTATTGAGATGAGCATCTAGCGAGTAGTGGTTGGACATAAGTCTACTCATCACGCGAATGAAGTCACGACTTAAGTCCAAGCCTTTAAACCACGCTCTCGAAGAAACATAAGGAATAATTGAACCACCGTCCAAGATTTCCATTGCCCCAATCGGTTTGCCAACTCGAAAGGGTACTCTGACGCACTAAATGGTAAAATTCATCGTGTGAAATTTGCCTGTCATAAAATTCGCCTTCCTGTGCGCCCACCTTTGCGAGAGAGTCCGCCTTCTCATTGCCTGGGATTGAGCAATGTGAGGGGACCTATACAAAGGTACCTTTGAAAGGAAATAAGATGAGTGCCTACCTGGTTTCATCGACCGAATAGGCTCGATGCTCGATCGAACTGGGACTATCCAAGAAGATGAAGTAATGGTCTGTGGGCATATTGGAAATCATCCCCAATGCGAAGTTGATTGCTGCCAGCTCTACAACAAAAACGGAACAAGGTTCCTGTAGTTTGCGGAAGGCGCTAGAGTTTTCATTGAAGACACCGCAGCCAGTGGATCCATTGAGACGGGACCCGTCTGTAAAATATTTTTTCTCGCAATTGACGTGTTGGTACTTTTCAGTAAAATACGCGGGATAATAATGGGTCGAAGTTGATCGGGAATCCCATGAGTTGCTTGTTTCATGGTCATATATTCAATTGAGGAACTGCGATTGGTGAAGTGAGCACGGTCTGGAGTGTAACAAGGAAGGCACATATCTGACGATATATAGTGGTGGTAGATTC